ACGATGTTTCAGTAACTCTGGTATATATATATATATATATCTATAAAAGGCAGGATGTCTGTGTGTGTGTGTGTAACTAATGCACGGCCGCAATTTTCGACGGATTTGCATCAAAATTTACATACACATGCTCCAAGTTAGTTCAAAGGCCAAGACTGACTTTGCATTTCCCAACTCCCATCGATAGTGGAAATAATCGATTTTTTCATGCTTCTACGGCATTTTTCATGTAGTTTGCGGCCATTTTTCCACTGGTCAGAGTGAGAGCCTATAGCTGGCTGCCACGAATAGGCAGGAAGATTCTATTGTCCAGCGTGAGAGCCAACAGCTGACTGACATGAATGTTAACTAGCATGCTAGCATGCAAAAAAAAATCGATAGCTGCATTCGTCACAAGTGGGAAAAATTTAAATCTGCATGGCACTTTACTCCAATTGGCTCATTCGCTTGCTTAAACTCAACGTTGATTCTGATTCCGCAGAACTGGGTTGGGCGTGAAAAAGTATTTGTTGTTAACATTCTTTTTTCATTCGGTTTTTCCAGTTACGAGTCCTTTTTTTAAAGCTGATCGTTTTGTGTTCATTTTGTTTAGTTCTTTTTTCGTCACAAATTTAATGTTTAGTATAGAGCTTAGAAAAAGTTGGCAGTGTGAGATAGGCAAGAAGTAAGGCGTGTAGCAAGATCAGCACGGCAAAGGGAACTCCTTTAAAGGCAAGGAAGGGCATAAATATTTTAAGTCAAGTGATAGTGATTGCTGTATGAGTCGTACGATTTTTGAATGAAGCACGGGCAACGCCGGGCCATGCTGCTATATATATATATATATATATATATATATATATATATATATATATATATATATATATACATGTGTGTGTGTGTGTGTAAGGTTGCGGGAAACGATGCACTAGCTCTTGGTTGCATTTTAGAAAGTGGGTCTGAACATTTTAGCAAACTTTCGTATTTGTGTACATGTGTGTATTCCTGTCTGTGTAAGTGTGCGTTGTTCTATATATGTGAATGTGTGTTTGTGTATGTGTGCGTGTATTACTGTGCAGTCTCAGTGTTGCTTAGAGAAAGGAAATCACCAGTAAAATCTGGGATTACTGAGTGTTCGTGGAATCTGAAAATATTATGCAGGCAGACGTCAATATGACTAAACGCAACATGAAATATGCCTGCTTGCATTAACGTCTTGACAAATGAAAAAAAGGAACAAATGTAAATCAAACACCGAATGTTCCATGTAAAAGAACAAATAGCGAAATATATTTTGCGAGTTGGTCAAAGTATTTCTAGGTGAACAGTAAAACTTATTTTTTAAGATTTTATAGCGGCGAATATATATATATATATATATATATATATATATATATATATATATGAAGAAATATAGTCTTAAGATGTGCTATATTTATGGGATAAAGTGCTCAATATCAGAGATAGAGCGTGTGTAAATATAAAAGTCAACATAGAAGCCAACACTTATAATCGGAATTACACAAAGCAAGCTTCTAAAAGACAAGGGGTTACATTGTGTGAAAGAATTAGTTACAAATATATATATATATATATATGTGTGTGTGTGTGTGTGTGTGTGTGTGTGTGTGAGTGTTTGTGATTGTGTGTGTAGAGTCGTAGCCGTTGTGCGGGGCTGGCGTGTCATCTGTGAGTGTTCAAAAAGAAGTGCAATATGGTCCCCTAGTGTAGCGTGGAGTGTATTGGGGATGGTTGGGCCTTGCAGAGGTAGTGGTAGTGTTTGTGATCTGTATCGCGAGAAAGGGTTGGCTGTGTTGGTATGCCCGGACGAGAGCAATTTGTTGAATCACCGGTCCAAGTTTATGTCATAATGTAGACATAATGATATGTATACTTTAGACGAGTACAAGCCCCGATGGTCAAAAAGTTTTATATCTTTTTTCCTTACTTTCGGTTCAACTCTTTCCTCCCCGTCTCCTCCTGATATTTAGGATTTGTGCCACTTAGTCAATCTATATAAGCGGGCTTAATCAGTATCACGGATTAAACATTCACAAGTAACGATCCTGATGACACCGTAAGGTCGAAACCTGAGTAGTGCGTTACACATGAATTTCTTTTATAATTTTATTATCCGATCTACAAATTCAATTTTGTGAATTGTGTATCGAGCACTTTAAAAATATCCGTACATTTGCCTGACTCCAGTCTAGCCTAGGATTTCTTTTTACTATATATATATATATATATATATATATATATATATATATATATTATATATATATATATTCATGTAGTAATTAGTACATATACACATATTTACGATTTTGGCATGCGACTGTAGTGGTGTTTCCAGTTCGTCAGGCACGTGGTTTATGTTTCTGGCAACTTAGACCCCGTGCCTGACGAACTGGGAACACCACCCAGTGAAACTAAAGTCGCACGCCAAAAACGTAGGTACGCGTATATGTACTAATTAATACATACCTTTGCTCTATATAACAGCATTGAGCACTATTACGTTTACACCTCATGCATAAATTTAACGATTATTTATTTGCTTGCCTGCGTATGCACACCAGCACACGCGTACACGCCTGCTTATATTTGGCCGTTTCATTTATCCACTCTACAACTATATATATATATATATATATATATATATATATATATATATATATATATTAAGCATTTCATCCCAAGTATGTTGGAAATGGCGCTAGCACGCAAGGGGTTACCGAGAGTGAGAGCAAGAATAAAGAGCGGTGTTTGAGGTGAAGTATAAAGAGAAGGATGGGGAACATGATTAAGACATCAGAAATCAGAAGATGTCGATTGACATTACACTTGAATTATTGGAGATTATAGCGATCAGGGAAACAAGAAGAGAAAGAGAGTTCCACAGACGGAAAGTGCGATATATATATATATATATATATATATATATATATATATATATACGAGATATGTAGAATAAGGTACGAGATAAAAGAAGGGAAATAACTGAGACATCCGGAGGGGGCATAGCACGTAGAACTAGAACAATCTACCCCGGTGGACAAAATAAAGGGTTCGGTTCGAAATTCCAATCACTTGAAGAAGGCCGGAGCGTACAACGGCCAAATCGTTGTGAATAAGGCAATGAAGAAGAGGATGGCAGTTCGAATAATGTAAATAAGATAAATAGAGATGATATATATATATATATATATATCTATGCAATTTATTATATATATTATTTATATATTATATATGCGCGGTACTTACTGGAAAGCGCTCAATATCAGAGATAGAACTAACTTATTTAGTTGGATTGATATATATATATATATATATATATATATATGTCATAACTTCGCTGGGTTGCTCAAGTTGCAAGGATGAGTGACGACAGAATACCTAAGGTCCTCATGTATAACCAGTTTGACGGTGGACAAAAGAATGATGGACGGCCGTGGCTCAGATATAAAGAGTAACTAGAGAAACCTCTCAGCTGTCAATGTTTCCTCATACTAACTTCATGCGAGTCACCTTGGATAGAAATAACTGGAGATATTTGTGCCGGAGTGGGTATTAGAAATTTTGAAATCAGTCTTATTGACCGGTTAAGAGACGAAAGACAACGTCGAAAAGCGTCAGCAAATATTACTGTGGCTATGTCTCGATATCCTCGGTGTTGCACAATATGTCGCCTTTTATGCAGTTCACTAGCGGGACTGAAGTGTCGCATAACATACGACACAAACATGAAATCTGAATGAGTTTGTTGGATCCTCATATGTCGAAATTGACAGGAGAGACTATATATATATATATATATATATATATATATATATATATATGTGTGTGTGTGTGTGTGTGTGTGTGTGTGTGTGTGTTGTAGTGTAGATATGATGAAGCATTCATATACATAGTAGATCAGTTCACACCACTCCCCGTTTTTTTTTTTTAATAGGAATAATGATTTGTCCCTTGTTTCCTGTTTAGGATTGGGTTTCTGGTTCCTTCTAAAGTCATTTCATTCCCTTTCACTTCCACTAAGTCATTTCGTTTTCGTGGCATTATTGCCTTGCTAGTGGTGAGCAAAAAAAAAAAAAAAATCTTTCTTCATTGACGAAAAATTACAGGTGAAATCTAATTGTATATTTTGGACTACTGCTTTTTTTTTAACAGAATTCACCAGAAGAAATTTGCAAACAAATCACATATCATGAAATTGATTTTGGAGAACAAAAATACTAAATCAATAACTCGGGATAGAAGGTCGATTGGTTTGGGCAGCGAAGGTCTGATATCGCAACTTTAAATTTTCATTCTTTGATAGCATATTAATAATGCGGTTTGCAACATAAATTCCAAAACACTGTAAGATTTACAAAAATAATTGAAGAGACAGGCTCGATAACATGTAAAATGCATTAAATTTTCCATGAAAGATTGCAGATTTGAATTGACAGTGATGACGAATTTATTTATTTATTTAGAAACAATAACTTTTTTTAAATTTATTAATAAAAGATTATATTTATATCTCAGGCTTCGAATGTGGTTGTTGCTTTATTTACACCCTTTATATATATATAATATATATATATATATATATATATATATATATATATATATATATATATATATATATATATATATTGTCATCCACAGACAGACTGTTTCGCCGTATCACAGCTCATCAGTGTAGCTAGACGTCCGGTTGCCTCTAGCTAGGATCGAAACCCGACTGAATTGGCGTTAGACTGGGATTCTACCACTAGTGAATATACATAATATTCAACGTTGATAGCACGACTCGGGTTTCATGCAAACTTGCAATCTTAAGGTGCGTAGTCGATATTCCGCAACCGAAGATTGCAAGTTTGCATGAAACTCCGAGTCGTGCTATCAACGTTGGATATTATGTATATTCACTAATACATACTTAATAGCTCTGTTATATAACATTGAGCACAGCTTTTATAACGCCTGAGACAGAAATATATATCTTCGTGCAAGTATATGTGTGTAATATGTATATTTTTTATCTATCTATCTATCTATCTATCTATCTATCTATCTATCCGATAGAGTATTAATAAAATAATGCTTGATGTAATAAAACACAACTATTAAGTATATATTAATAAATATACATATTTTTCCTCATCGGTAACACTATATATTAATAAATATCGTGCACCCGGCGAAGAATAATATATATATATATATATATGTAAGCAAATATATGGATATAAATCCGACAGTATGAAAGAAAAATACAGAAAAAACAAAATTCTGAATATGCATTATTAATGTTAAAATAAAGTCGACGTCGGACGTTTCGGTCTATTTAAGACCATCTTCATGGACATTTTCATTTAAACATAATTAACATTATAACTTATAACAATTTAACACAAAAGACGATGGACATAAGAGCCCAACTAATTCAAACAGATAACTGAAATTTTATAGATTTTATAGATTTCAAGCTTGGACGAGAATAATAGATCAAGTAAGGAATGGAATTTTTATCGAACTGTTTTTTAGAACTGTTGCATCGTTTTTGAAATCATTTTTGGATTTGCATTGTAACGGGAAGGACTTTCAAGCTTGTTGAAGATATAAGAACCAATTGTTTCACTACGTATTCCAACATCAACGGAAGAGATTTCTTTAACTTTTTATAAAAATTTTTCAATCGACTTTTTGATATTTTAATTTTTGAAATCATCTTCGAATACGTCTTAACAACATCGCCCACGAGACGACTACGTGATCATATTTAAACAGAACGCTGATCTGTATAAAATTTCAGTTATCTGTTTGAATTAGTTGGGCTCTTATGTCCATCGTCTTTTGTGTTAAATTGTTATAAGTTATAATGTTAATTATGTTTAAATGAAAATGTCCATGAAGATGGTCTTAAATAGACCGAAACGTCCGACGTCGACTTTATTTTAACATTAATAATGCACATTCAGAATTTTGTTTTTCTGTATTTTTCTTTCATATATATATATATATATATATATATATATATATATATATATATATATATATTGTCCAAATCGTGTAATAGCATAGTTATCCATCCTACAAAATGTTTAATATCTAAAAAACCACTGAACTCGTTGAGTTTCTTTTTCCTAGGTCTTCTGATAAGTCGTTTAGCCATCTTGACACCATTTTTCGTAAGAATCACTAAAAAGCCATTTGAGTTATTCAGCTAAAATAGAGTATGTTAAAATTAATTTGTGTCTCACCCACTGTCTTCCCAACCGAACAATGGTGAGAGGAAAAAGATCATTTAGGCATTCAGTAATGGTGCCAACATTCATACGCTTGCTTCCATCTTCAAAGACCATTCAAGAACCTACAAAGGAACGGTGAATAAGTTTTAAAATTAGGGAACAGTAGAGAGGAAAACTGAATCAGGAGGTCATAACAGGACGAGGGATTATCGTTTCAACTTGGAAATAAAGAGATCAATTAGAAAAGATCCAACTCAATTCATAAGACATTTGGCACATGAGAGAGGAGTTTCAGCTATGTCAGTCCAAAGAGCAGTGAAAAAAAAGTTAAAAGGTTAGAGAGGGCGAAGGTCATATTGAATAAGTTGGAACATGATCCTTGAATATATATATGTATATTCGAAATTTATTTCAATCCTTCATGAGCTTCCGATACTTAAACATGTCATTTTCGTTTATGATCGATTTCATCACGACTCGTCTGTTAAGCTTGGAGAGTAATTATACATTCTTATTGCTCAAAGTTGAATCCAATAGTGTTATAAAAACCTCGGAGAATTCCAGTAAGATATCTTTAATCATTTCTGAGTTAAAGGATTCAGAGCTTAATTGAAGAATTTTGTTGGTGCACGATTTGGACAATTTTTTTTTTTGATATATATTTTATATATATATATATATATATATATATATATATATATATATTACATATAATAGATATCAAATTTATCTCATTCGAATAGATGTTTCTGCCAACAGGAATTTGTTGGCTTCGTCAACTCAAATGTGTGAAGCCAACAAATGTCTGTCGTTAGAAATAGCTATTCAAATGAGGCAAATTTGGATTTCTATTCTATGTAATGCTATAATATGCTCTGTTATAATGCTCTATGCTCTGTTATAATAAATACATTGAGCTCATTTTGGGGATCTGTTTTAATATTCTATGTTATTAAGATCGACGGATCATTACCTATATATATATATATATATAGGCGTTCCTTCCTGAACTTTTGTTTAAGTGAGAGTGGAAAGTCAACATCTTGATTATATAATTATTTCCCTTCTAGTTATATGTGCTATTCTTTTTAGTTGTAGTCGCAGTTGTATGTCTTCAATTTATGTGGTCTTTGTTATTTGGTAAAGTACTTTGTGATTCTGTAGCGCCAGTCTATAAGATTTGACTATATGTTTTCTTTTTTAAGACCTAGTTGATTCGTTCGCATGAAGCCATTTTTAATCATTGACCTGAGAAAACCGTTGTATATAGCGGATAGTTTAGACATTTTTGAACGATTTGGATGTCATGCATGACATCCGCATGAGAGTCCAGATCTGACAATGCTATTTAAGAGCATGACCCGAGTTTATATATTAATATTTTAATTTTTAACATCTTGCTGTGGTGGGGAAAACTGCCCAAAGAGCAACCAATCATATATTCAATTCTCTTTCTATATTTCTTAGCGTAATTTATTATAACTAATCAACACACCGAGGTAGTATTTAGAAGTGTTTAGAATTCACATTTGATAATTTGAATGTCTTGTCAGCATGGCATTTATTTTCGGTGCGAAAATTTATCTTTAAATGAATTTTTAAAAAGTATTTACTTGAAATGGAAACTATACATAAATGTTATAAAATTAAAAAGAAACTTTTATTGTTCAGACATCTGAAACCTTTATCCGTATACTAACCGTCGTTAACAACGTTTCAGTCGATCTACTTTTTGGCTATTATGAGGGGTATTTCGTGGGAAAAAAGACACCCCTTTCTTTCAGGAAAAGAAGTCAACACGAATATTTATTGATATACCAACAAGTTTAATCCTGTTCCTCGAAAACCGGATATCATATCTACCTCGAAAATCCTAAAGTATAGCAGTGGGAAGGAAGCCCCCCCCACCCCGACACTGACTTTACTAATCCTTATTAGCCTCTTACCAGACTAAATATGAAGTATAAATCAGCCTAAACAGTTGTAACTGTAAAAAGAAGGGATTCAATTGTCCAAATAATTTTCGCTGCATAAATGACTTTTGAACTTGATAGACAATGAAAATCACGTTTGTTTTAGACATCAGTCATTCATTTCACTTAGTCTATATTGAACTATAACAGTGCATATCTATCTATCTATCTATCTATCTATCTATCTATCTATCTATCTATCTATCTCAGTTTGTTCCTATCTATCTATGTATCTATCTTATTCAAATCCGTCTGTCTCAGTCTGAGCGTATCTATCTATCTATCTATCTATCTATCTATCTATCTATCTATCTCAGTTTGTTCGTATCTATCTATGTATCTATCTTATTCAATGTCTGTCTCAGTCTGAGTCTATCTATCTATCTATCTATCTATCTATCTATCTATCTATCTCAGTTTGTTCCTATCTATCTATGTATCTATCTTATTCAAATCCGTCTGTCTCAGTCTGAGCGTATTTATCTATCTATCTATCTATCTATCTATCTATCTATGAAAAAGTAATAAAGTTTAAGACCTTTGTACTCAGAGTATCAGTTGGCATTAAACATTTGATCTTTCTCGCTGTCTGTATCGATCTCTGTCAGTCTAATCAAATCTCTATCAATCAATGATGAATTTATAAATATTCAAGCCCTTAGGAAATCACTTGACCTTGATTAGATTCTGCATCTATCATTCTACTTCTGTGTATTGTGGTGACTATGATGGCGGCCATGTCTGTGTATGGGCGTACTTTTCTAGACACATGTATAAATTATTACGGTTTATTTAAAGATATTTACGTATTTTACAGAACATTCGTCTAAATTTTATTTCCTGTATACAAGTAAAGCGTCTGTAGGATCCCACTATATTCTTCTTCTTCTTCTTCTTCTTCTTCTATATGCTTTAGTGCCTTCAGGGCATGAGCGATCATGGCTTTCCACAACTTCCTATCCTTTGTACCTCGTATCAATGATTGTTTTTTTTATTACCCCTCCAAATCTATGTTCTGCCATCCATTTAAACAAGTCCGTTAGGTAGATTTCCTCTATCCATTTTACCTGTATATACCTTGTGGGTGTCAAATTCTCCTAGCCCTTCTTCCTTATTATGCCCCCCCAAAAGTTCAACTGTTTCTTTCTGATTATAAGTGTACTTTTTGCTAATATTTTCCGTAAAACTTCCCGGTTACTCCCATGCTTCGCCCAAGTTATTCTCAGAATCCATTTGTAGAACAACATTTCTGCTGCCTCAAGTCTCTTCTTCATCTGTGAGGAAAATTGTTCAGCATTTACCGCGAAATAAGAGAATTGATATTACATAGCAGTTCAACGCCATCCCTTTGTGGCTTACAAGAATTTCCCGTTTTAGATTTTAGAAGGTATTTTCGCTATTCCAATGTCGGCATATGTTCGAAAAATCTTAACTTACTTCTTACTTTTTTTTTAACAGTAAGGGTTTCCCATTACAAGGCCCTGGGGCCACTCGAGGTAGAGGGTTAGGTTAGGAGGCCATTTGTGTGCATAGGTGAGGGAGATAACAATTAACCCTAGTCTTGAATAGGTTATGATTGTAGTAATCGGGAAAACATACTATTGGAAATCGATTCCACAGGGCAGTGGTTCGCAAGAAGAAGCTGCTCGAGTGAGACTTACTTCTCACCGATGGAATATGGAGAAAATGAGGGTGGTTTTCCTTCTATGTAAGTAGCATGGCGTGTTCTTGCCATGGAAATTTGCCTCTTCGGGACCAAGGAATGTAGTTCGTCCGAGAACTTTCGAGGGAAGTAGCGGTGAAGAGAGAGAGAGAGGCTTGCCCATCCTGAGGAAGAGAGAGAGAGAGAGAGAGAGAGAGAGAGAGAGAGAGAGAGGGAGAGAGAGACCCATCCTGTCTAGAGGGCTGGGGAATAATTCGTTGGATTCTGGATTCTATCAAGGCTAGAGAGTGAGGTCTTGGCAGCTCCTGCCCAAATATGACAACAGTAAGTACTCCATTTTTAGAATGATCTGCCTCTTGGGAAGATAAAGGATAGGTATTTACTAGAGTGTCAGTTACTTACTAGAGTGCTACAGGTAGCCGACCATTTTATCTGCATCCTTAGCAACGGATCGTATGTACGAGTTCCATTTGAGGTCGGGTGTGAGTTTGAAGTCCAACAGTCTTTCAAGGCACGGTGCTTCTCTGAGAGGACCTTCATTCATCTTTATTGGTGGTAGATTGTGGTCAGATCGGCGATGATGAAACATACCTAGCTTGGTCTTCGAGGCATTGAATGTAATGAGACAGTTTTTACCCCATTGGATTTGTTCTTTTTGTTCTCCGGTCAAGTGGGTGCAGCTTAGAAGCCCCGACTAGAAGCCCCTACTTGGAAGACCCCATTCGCCGGCCATAAAACAAAAGCACATGAGATAGAGATAAAATCACATCCTCCTCTTCTATCTGGTTGTCCCACCACAGATGTGGATGAATGAAGAAACAAAATAAGCTGAACGAGCCACTGACTTTTCTTCATTAAATTCTTCGAATTCTTTTCAATTGTTATCATTTCCTTCATCATAATCTTTTTCTTCATCACTACTTTCAATTTTATCAATTTTCATCATTTTTATTGTGATTTCTCTCTTTTTTAAGTCTTTCCTTCTTCATGATCTTATTCATACTTATCTGTTTTTATCTTCTTCTTCTTTTTCTTCTCACCCACCTCCTCCTTCTTTTCCGCCTCTTCTTCTTCTTCTTTGTTAAGTCTCTCTTTTTTAAATCTTTCCTACTTCATGATCTTATTCATACTTATCTGTTTTTATCTTCTTTTTATTATTCTTTATTGTCACGTCATATTCTTCTCCGTTTTCTTCTGTTTCATTGTCGAATTTATTCATCCCTCCTTTTCTCATATTCTCTGTAATTGCCATCCCTTCTTCATTACGTTTTCACATTTTTATCGTTTCCTTTCTAATCTTTTTTCGTTTTCTTTTCTTTCTCTGTATTTATTTTTTTCTTTCTTCATATGATTATAATTCTTTTTTAATGATAGCATTTGAAACGGATAAATCAGTTTAATTCTCTTTCTAATGTTAATCTCTTTTTTTCAGCTTTTACTTACTCATATCTACGTCATTGGGACCTGAGCGTTTCTTTTTTTTCTTCAAATTCTTCGTCTGCCTACTGGACTTAAACAATGCATTAGTTCTCAGATTCACTCTATCTATCTATCTCTCTGCTACATTTGCATTTTTGCTTTAATACAAAAAAAAAAAAAAAGAAAAAAGAAAAAAAGAAAAGGTATTTCTTTCGTATGGTAAGGCATATTTATTTACACTTTATGAATTGTGATTTTGATTTCTGTCAAGTAAAAAATGAACTGGTGCGTTTCAAAAAATAAACGTGCTTAAAAATGCTTATGTAAATACAAACCTTTGAACTTAGTACATCTTTCTGATTCTGATGCAACTCAGATGCATCCTTTACACATTGATTGCAGCAGAAAAGGCCATGCACGCGCATACGCTTATTAGTTGCAACCTCACACCCACGAGGTTGATTACTATTTCACCATGTTAAGCGAAGCCAAGAGTTAAAATAGAATTCACTCGCGAATCGGACTTATACAATCGAGCCAAAAGTCAAAGGTTGGATGTTTAGCATTGTATAGGATCACACGAGTCTGGCGAAGTGCAGCAACTCAGCATGGCATCGATTCCATAAGTGGCCGAAAAAGCCTCTGGAGGAATTCTGAGACATGCCATTTCTATTAACTGTTCACCACTCCCTTATATTTGTAGGTGAAAGATCGTATTCTTCAAACCAATTCTAGGAGACTTGGGCGAGATGACATGGTCCATTATCTCCCTGGAATACCTTATCCTTATTATGGTACATCTCATCCCTGAATATATGTAAATATTCTTTAACTAATGATGACAATAAACAAGCTAGAGTATCACAGATGGATGTTATTTAACGGCATATCAACTCATTATTGGTAATTGAATACCGAAATTTAATTTTCTTGGGAGCTTTGAAGTAATAAAAATATGATAGGTCATTCTGCTTTCACAATTGAATACATGGTAGATGATGCTCAGCTTTTGTGCATATACATGTTTGTGCTGACATAATTACTAGAGGCGGTGATATGCGTGTTTTATGTTGTAGTTTTGTTGAAGTTATATTTTGGAATACAGTTTAATTTAAGAAATTGTAGGATATTATATGGATTTATGTTATGAAAAAGTTCTCTCTTGTTTGTTGATTGTTTGGTTGGTTGATTTTATTTGGCAGAATATGGGTTATTTAATGGCAGAATTTATGGGTTATTTAATGGCAGAATTTATGGGTTATTTAATGGCAGAATCTATGGGTTATTTAATGCCAGAATCTAAATAATATATAATTTTATGCTTTCTAAATAATATATAATTTTATGCTTTCAAAAATTGGGCAAAACTCAGTGTACGTTTACAAAGCAAGCGAGATATGAAAATATCGTCAAGGCGAGACATTAAAAGGCGTTTCCAATATATTTGGTAGGTTATTGAAAGATTCCTTAGGTAGTTGATATGCTGGACATCGGCTACGACAGAATGACAGACGATATCTACGCTTAGTTCGGCGACAACTCCAACTGTTCAACTATGTAACGACGCGCGGTTCGCAACCCCTTTTTTGACGAGGAGCCTGGAATTATCTCACTAAACGGAGGCTCCGTGCCCGAAAGCGGCTGGCGGTATCGGACGAAAGTTCACTTCTAACTGTGACTCTTTATATAAGTTTGGTATTGGAACCTTCTAACTTCCGGCCAAGTGGCACGTGTTTCCGAAAGTTTTCATTTATTCATCTATTTATATTGTTCCCTTTTGGCCAGAAGAAGGCAGCTTTGAAGACTTTACTTCGTAGATTTTATTACTGGTTATAAAAAAATTTGGGTACTTTAAATTCAGATAAAATCATTTAGTCCCCGCCACTTGAATGTTTGTGTATTCTAGTGACAACCAAGTCATTAACTATGCAATAGGTTTTATGAATTATGTAACATAGTATAGACAGCGGGACGAGAACAATTTCCTTCAATGGAATGAGTAAAGAGTTCGTTCGGAAGTTAGCAAATTACCGAATATGAGATAACCTTTGAGAAAGCCAGATATTTCAATGGACGAGGCGTTGGAATTGTAATAAGCAAAATGTGAACTCTCGTCTGAATAGATTAATCTATAGAGAAATGACCCCAGCATGCGGCACCTTTGGAAAGTGCCTGAAAACCATACGGTAAACGAAACACTTGGGTGGCCGTCGATAGCTGTGCCAGCACGGAGTCACAAGACACCGTGACTGAGGGTTTGAATGTGCTGGTGTTCTCTAGATTGTTGATCATGCTAAATAACACGCTCTCTCCCAGAAACTATAACTAAGGTTGCCCAGCATAGTTGCAGTATAAACCACAGGTTGGCTCTGTGGGTGTTGAACGAACACAAATGTGCCTGAACGAGAATCTGCAATAGGGATTAGCTAGACGCCCTAGTAGACAGATATCCTCGAATACGAGTGGCCAGCTATTATTATAGAGAAATGAAATAAAATACTATAAAGGTACTCATCTAATATATCAAATACATGAAAATACTCCAAGCGAACAAAACCGCAAGAAAAGAGGTTAGAGGCTTTTGGTGTTATGCAATATTCTTGTGAGTAGCTGTAAATAGATCTGGTTGAGCTTAGGAATGTGCCAACATTTGAGTATATAAAGAATAGATGTCATGTCAATTAGATCTAAGTTGTTAATTCTGAAATAATGCCTTCCCATTTGACTCATCTTCTACTCGCTACAATATAGAATTGGACATCACATTCTAATACCATGTAATACCTCGTGTCTAAAACTGTTACATATTTCCAATCGGTGTCAGCGGTAACTGTTCAAGCATACGCAAATAGCCAGGATTACGATACTGATTTTCTTGGCATTTCAACAGGTAATTCCCAACTTGCCATAGCATAGTCTTCCTGACTGGAATACCCCGTCCCCAAGAATTACAGTTCCTAACCTTCAGTCAGTTATGTGCCATGCGTGATACACACGTAGGCGATCATGTGTCTTTCGATACATGACTGATGAGGCAGATTTTTCTCCCGCAGTAGGTTTCCATTTTTTTCTGCGGTAGACCAGTTGCCATCCAAGTCTATAGAAATACGAGCTGTCCTGCTATTTACCCATAGCTGGGGTGGGGAGAAGAAGAGGATTAATACATTTCCCAATAATATTAGCACGAAAGAGAATGTAATAGATTTGACTAGAATTCGAACTCGGCCCTCCATTTGCTCAATCCGATCCGCTATCCATTACTCCACCTTAGTAAATAACAAAATTCAGAATTTTGAATATTAGTTTTCTACGCAAATGAAATCTCGCTGATTAGAGTATTGGTTTAACATAATCTTTCTATTTGCAGTCTAACTTTTAAGTCTCTCCTTGCAGGCTACTAAGCTAGACTTAATAAATATAAAAATGTCAGTATTTTGAATGCTGATTTTCTAGGCAGATCGATCCTCTCTGTCTTAGAAGACTGCCATAACATAGTCCTCCCACCTTTCGCAATTTGGTGGGTCGTAAGAAAATACCATACGCTAGAAGTCTGTAAAATTAAAGTCTTAATCATTTTTCAGGGTTGGTGATTCTTATCCCCTAGAAGATAACATTTAGACTAAAAATGGGGACTTTTTAGCTATGTATAACGATCCAGTCTTGTATCCAGGTGTATAGAACAAAACAAATGTTTTCATTGCAGGTTTCTTGTATTTAGGTAATTCGTTTGAAGAAATGTGTCATATAGGAAGAAAATGAGTAACTACGGACACCAAGGTTCGAGTGTGGCACTAGACTTATGAATATATGTTTTCTGTCAGGTATATAAATAGCAGTGTCAGGCTACTGACTGGAGTGATTATTGAGTGACCATTGAGTGGAACTATCCAGTCGAATTAGTGTGAATTATTGTACGTTGATGATTTGGGTTTTGATTTAGGACTTACCGGGCCGCGCTACTGCAATGGTTATCTTTGGTTGAATTTTACATCTTTGTTCTTGTTCAATATTTATTTGCGGTTGTAATTAAATACTGTTTTATTTTAACATTGAAGCCTTGAGTTATAATTAATTACTAATGGCCACCGTACGTCACAAAAATGATAGAGATTTTGTTAGAAAATAACTAATGACTGATTGATTTGATTTTACTGACCCAATTACTGGTATAATCATTTTTATGGCCCAGTTAACCAAGAATATTTTGTCATATATACAGCATTTATCCTTTTGTCACATATACGGCATTTATTACTTCATTTCAGACGCCTTAGCGGGATTAGCAAACCTTTTGTAGCTATAATCAATGATCACTGTTGATCATGATAATGTTGATCACTTCAATTGGCCGACAAGCAGTACGGATTTCGATTGGCATGGTTCACTGCTGATATCATGCTATTGCTCACAGAATCAGTGAGACTAGACAATAAATACATCTGAAAGATGATCGCATTAGATATTTCGTAGATTTTTTGATAAGGAGTGGTATAGGAGGGTGCTACACAAACTCCCTAGCTATGGAATCTCTGGAAGTCGCTTCCCGATCCAACTGTCTACATTGAATAAATGATCTGCCTAACAGTATACTCTGATCATTTACGAATATCTATGCTGATGATACAACCATATATGGGTGCACCTCAAAAAATCTAGATGACTAGAGACTGGCAGCTGATCTCTCCTCTGACCGAGCTCTAACAGTTCATTGGAGGAAAAACTGGTTGGTCACATTCAATGCCTCGAAAACCAAGCTAGTAACGGTACATCATCACCGAGCAAGCTCTGAAATTTCTCCTATCATAATGGATGTTATCTCAGGGATAAACCATGCCTTGAGCACTTATTGGGACTTAAGCTCAAACTAGATCTCAAGTGGAACTTGTACAAACAATCCATCGATGAAGATGCTGGAAAAATGGTCGGTTCCCTGTCACGCTCAAGTAAGAACCGAAAATTCCTCTTGTTTATCCTTTACTATTACAAGAGCCAGATCAGGCTTAAAATGGAGTACTGCAGCCATATATGGGCAAGAGATGTCCTGTCCTCACTTTCTGGTCTCTATAGAGTCCAGAATCATCACCGCGGCCTCGTGCGCGATAAATGATTTCCCACCCTACAACCCCTTTCTTACAGACGTAACGTTGCAAGTCTCTGGATGCTC